GGCTAAAGGGAAGTCCCACTTTTACAATTCTTTTGAAAAATCCACAAGGATAAGTGTGATAAATTGATTTTCTTGGCAAGTAGTCTTATTTTATATTTCTGGTTTTCTGTTGTACCTTTAAGAGTGACTGATATACCAGTTATATTTTTTCCTTCTTTAAAAATGGCATCTCCCTCTATCACCTAGCTTGGAATGAAGTGGCACTATCATAGCTCATTGTAACCCTGAACTCCTGGGCTCAAGCGATCCTCCTGCCTCATCCTCCCAGGTAGCTGGGAAATGCCATCATGCCCAGCTAATAACATGAGATATTTTTTAAGATTTAAGAGTCCATAGACAATTAGAGTTCAGCAGACTTTAGGTATCTACTGAATCTCTGTAAAACGCAGTATAAAGAACTGAGATTCCATCATTCTGTCCTGACTGGCCAATATATTTCTTTTCCTCACTTTGCCCTTGTTAATCTTTCCATCTGAAATAAAGTCTTTTTTCTTCTTCTTTTTTGGAAAAATTTCTCTATAAGTTATGGCATAAGCCTAATCATCTTCATGGAATTTATATTAACCCATTTCTACACCCACAGCACTGAATGTATATTTCTCCCATAGCACTTGAAATGCAGTTTTCAGATTTCTTCTTTGGAATTGTATCTTCCTCATACACCATGGTCTTCTTGAGAGTATGTGATAGGCATGATTCAAATTATTCAAATCAATACTGGCAAATATAAGACCTCTTAGTATTTGATGGAATAAATTGTGAAGGGTTGTCCTCTGTATCTTCTGTGTATTATCCACTAATGAAAGGCAGAATTGTATCTTTATCTTTGACATTCTCGTTACTAACTGGAGAACTTTAAAGATTTCCTCCTCAGCCTTAAACACCCATGTTTACATATAGATTCTCCCTTCAGAGAGAATTTCCCAAATTATCTTCCATTTCTTCTAGCTATCATTAACTTCAAATGGATACAATATTTTGTTTCAGACACTTTTCTTGTCATGAGTTTAGAGTGTACAAAACATATTTATCTCTAATAGGGATGCCTCAACCTTGACTTCTCTCAGGATCAAAGAGTTCTCAAATTTGAATCAAAATTTTCTGTGCAACTGTGCAAATCACAGTCAATCACTTCCACATTATCTGTAAAATCAGTTTTATAAAATAAATTAGCCAGTAATAACATCTTTCATATTGATTGCTTGAAATTTTTAATTCATTAGGAATGAGTTCAGAATTTTCCTATAGTCAGGAAGAGTGCTAAAAAACAAAATCATTTTATTCTTCTTTGTGTGCTGTAAAAAAGACTATATCCATAAAAACACTAATACTTCCAGATAGAGAACTGCTATGATAGGAAATATTGTATGGCAAAGTTCTTCTCCTTGTCCTTCCTGTTCATGCAAGTCTGAGATAATATTTTAAATTGTCTAGCAGAAAAAAATTACCCTCCCTTCTAGTAGCACATTAATAGGGTTTTTAAAAAATGGATGTGTTTCTTTGTGAGCTTTACCTATGCTATACTTATTTAAAGTAATCTTTCATCCTAAGTACAATTATTAATGCAAAATAACCTTTAATAAGTATCATCGCCTTTGCTTTACTCATTTTCCAAATACGAACAATACAATTTTCTCTTTCCAAAAGCAGTTATGATATAAAGGGAGTTGTGCATTGTCTGAAACAACACATTGAAATTAGTTGTCCTGCTTCTCAATTAATGCACTTATTTAACATTTAAAATTGAGAATGTTTAAGTTGCAGACCATTTTTAATGCATGTGAATAAAAAATATAATTTTTTTTCTCGGCTCTAAAATCAAACTCTCTAGTGAAAATGCATACACATACACACAGAGTTCACAAATGCAAGCTTTGTTGTTAGTGGGATTCCCAGTAAAGAAATAGCAGAGATTATAAATATCTAAAAATCAGTGTGCACATTAAGAAAAAATGGATATAAAATTACCAGATAAACAGACTCTGGACCTTTACTTTCTTATCAGTTTCTCTCCATTATTAATTTCTATAAGGAACATAGAGATTTTTCTCCCATCCCCTCTTCATGTATGGTAAGTGCCACACAGTGAGGCTGATTTTATTCCTGGATCTGTTTTATGCTCAAGTGAGACAAGTAGAAAGATAAAAGTATTTTATGGTTTTTCTGAAAGGATCAAAAAATGATTACAATGTTATTTTTCATTTTACCAGAAATTGGGATAAAGTGAGCAATCGAGCAAGATCTCTAATGAGTAGTCAATAATCATTTCTGGTATGCACAGTAGCTTTTGTGACAGAAAGAATGTCTATGCCTAATGACACCCAGTTCCATCCTTCTTCATTCCTACTGCTGGGCATCCCAGGGCTAGAAGATGTGCACGTCTGGATTGGATTCCCGTTTTTCTTTGTGTATCTTGTTGCACTCCTGGGGAATGCTGCTATCTTGTTTGTGATCCAGACTGAGCACAGTCTCCATGAACCCATGTACTACTTCTTAGCCATGTTGGATTCCATTGACCTGGGCTTGTCCACGGCCACCATCCCCAAAATGCTGGGCATCTTCTGGTTCCATCTCAGGGAAATATCTTTTAGAGGCTGCCTCTCTCAGGTGTTCTTCATCCACTTCTTCACCGCCATGGAGAGCATTGTTTTGGTGGCTATGGCCTTAGACCGCTACATTGCCATTTGCAAGCCCCTTCGGTACACCATGATCCTCACCAGCAAAATCATCAGCCTCATTGCAAGCATTGCCATCCTGCGGAGCCTGTACATGGTGGTTCCACTGGTGTTTCTGCTCCTGAGGCTGCCCTTCTGTGGACACCGTATCCTCCCTCACACTTACTGTGAGCACATGGGCGTTGCCCGTCTGGCCTGTGCCAGCATCAAAGTGAACATTATGTTTGGCCTTGGCAACATTTCTCTCTTATTGTTAGATGTGTTCCTTATTATTCTTTCCTATGTTAGAATCCTCCATGCAGTTTTCTGCCTGCCTTCCTGGGAAGCTCGACTCAAAGCTCTCAACACCTGTGGCTCCCACATAGGTGTTATCTTAGCCTTTTTCACACCAGCATTTTTCTCTTTCTTGACACATCGTTTTGGACATAATATCCCCCAATATATTCACATTTTCTTGGCCAACCTATATGTGGTTGTTCCACCAGCTCTCAATCCTATAATCTATGGGGTTAGGACCAAGCAGATTCGGGAGCGAGTGCTGAGGATTTTCCTCAAGACAGATCGCTAACTATTTGGAGGTTTAAGGTCTGACTTGGAATTCATGTTTCTTCCATTGTTAGAAAGTAAAGTTATCTTTTGCTTAATCCAGTAGAAAGAACAAAGGCTATGGGAATGCTGCAACAATGACATTATTTACCTATGAACTGAAGTTTTTGTCTTTACACATAATAGTAAGAATAGTAGAATTTGCATAAATTTTTCTCTTCCAAGTTCTTTTATTTCTATGCTGGATCTTTAAGTTAGACCTATAAAGAATATATTACTTTCCCCTCATTTTTCAATGAACATACTGATTTTGGGGAAAGTTAAGTGTTTTATTCATTCTCCATGTTTAGTAAGAAGTAGTGATTTTAGCCAAATAGCTTACCTTCAACTTTTCATCAGTTTCTGTTATTCCAGGGTGGTCAAAGGTTGAACAGATACAGAATAACCTTGCTATTTTTAAGAAGATTACAAACAGCATAAATGACTTCCAGGACTTTTCTTTTTCTTAAAGTATAGTACCTCCCACACCAGCCATGGGAGTGGGAGCTAATGAGCTTCAAAGGGTGGGTCCTGCCAGAGGTCCTGTTTTACTTTATTTTATTTTATATTATTTCAGAGTATTATGAGGGTACAAACATTTTGGACTTTTAAAAATAATAAGAACTTACCTGAATATAGGATTATATAAATGTACTATATATAGAAAGTATACTTTACACACCTACACTCATTTTATGCTCATCATAATCCTACTCAGGATTACTATAATTACTATAAGTTACTATAATTCCCCCCATGAGCATAGAGAAGCAGGGATACTCATGAAATTAGAAGTTGATATAAAGGAAAAGGGAAAAAATAAAGTCTACACATGGCATGTGCATCATAAACATATGATTAATTTATTTTGCTTATTTAATTATATTAATATTATTTATATAGTACATTAATTATTTATATGTGTGTATATATGTGTGTGTGTATCTATATATACTTCTACTATGTTATATGTATGGATTTTTGAATAACAGAAAGATACATAATCAATTATGTTTAAATCATTTACATTGGGAAAGAAGAAATTATGAGAAATATGTTTTCCCCTCTGCAGATTTCAAAGTTGTTCCATGTATAGAGGACTCAGAAAGAATTTGGAGGCAGATGGTTTTAGGAAGATTTTGAATACATGTTCTTTATTCTTGCTCTGCCATTTACACAGTTAAGATACAATATCAGGCAGTAGATCACACAGCTGGCATGTTGAGAACTATAAAGCAAAGATACTTAAATTTAGCTGTGATTCAAGGATATCCTAGAGAAAGCAGTCATAAGGGCACTCACTGGGTGATCAGATAAAAGCAGAATGTATTGTGCAGGAATGGCTTTTGCCTGCTACCCATAGACACCATAAAATAACAGAGCACCCTCTGTTCTTGGAAGCAGGGAATGTACCAAAAATTATTCCAAGAATGAAGAGTTGAGCTGACAGTTTAATTTATGTCATTTGCTTTTGAGCTCCTTCAAAAGGGAAATGTGTTAAAACCAGACTTGGTGCAGTTAATAAGACTCCCAAGTGGTACAGTGGTTATCTTGGGAGGAAAAAGGATAAAGTTGCCAATCAAATTGACAGAGGCCAATGCTGAAGCTCATGTTATGGAACAAGGAAACTAGATGGCATTTCTGGACTGTTACATCCTGGTCTGTCTCCAAATACTCGGATGTACAAGGATCTAGGCTCAATTTCTATTTTTCTATGGTAGATTCCAGGGAATGAATACATGGAGGCTTTCCCTTCTCTTGGCTCCCAGTGAAGTTCTATAATAGTTGTCATAGTAATCTTTCTTCCTCAGGTCCACAGCAATAACGTAAGGCAGGTAATTACTAGCAGACTTTAGGCTGGAAGGCTTTGGAAGTGCTTGATGGTTCCTTTCCCAGAGAAAATTCTCAGATCATGGTAAGGCAGGTGAGTGTATTGTAAAGGATGCTAAATGGACAAGGATGGATGGGGGATTTGGACACATAAAAAGCTCAGACCTGAGGGAACAGCGGGAAATAGGGGAAAAAAAGGGACACCAAGGAATATAGGTAGAGAGAAACTTGGATGAATGTGGGTAAGAACGTGGATGGAATTTAGAAGGATTATAAGAGTGAATTGTTACATATTCTTTTACAGACACATTCAAAAAGAATTGTCCCCAACTATATATATATATTAAAATACATTTTAATATCCATTTTTGGTTTTGTTTCAATATCTTCTAGTTTTTCTTTGTGTTTCTGCCTCTAAATAAATAGCTTAAAACAGTTTTAAAAATCTTTTTGTGTGTGTGTGTGTGTTTGTATACTCACAGAGGGGAAAGTGTAAATGACAATTTAATTGGCAAGTGTGGATTGAATGCATTGTATGTATCAGTTTGAATGCACTTTGTTTTATTTTTATTTAGATAAATTTATGGGGTACAAGTATAATTTTGTTACATGCATGGATTGCCTATTGGTTGCTTCAGGGCTTTTAGAGTATCCATTAGCCAAGTAATGTACATTTTACCCATTAAGTAATTTCTCATCATCCACCCCTCTCCCACACTCCTACCCTTCCCAGTCTCCATTGTCTATCATTCCACATTCTACCTCCACCTGAACACATTATTTGGCCCCCACTTATAAGTGAGAACATGCGATATTTGTTTTTCTGTGTCTGACTTGTTTCACTGAAGACAGTGAATTCCACTTACATCCATGTTGTTGCAAAAGACATGATTTCAATTTTTATGGCTGAATAGTATTCCATTGTACATATATACCATGATTTTTGAATCCAATCATCTGTTGATTGCCACTTAGGTTGATTTCACATTTTTGATATTGTTAATAATGCAGCAATAACATACAAGTGCAGGTATCTTTTGATTGCAGGTATATAATGATTCATTTTTTTTAGGTAGATACTCAGTAGTCGAATTACTGCATTCACTGGTAGTTCTATTTTTAGTTATTTAAGAAATCTCCATACCACTTTCCATAGAGGTTGTACTAATTTATATTTCCACTAACCATACATAAGAGTTTCCTTTATCTTTTTACTTAGGATTGCTTTGGCTATTCAGGCTTTTTTTTTTTTGTCCATATGAATTTTTAGCATTTTTTTCTGTGAAAAATGATAATGGTATTTTGTTATGGCTTGCATTGAATCTTAGATTGCTTTGGGCAGAGTGGTCATTTTAAGGATTTTAATTCTTTTAATCATGAACATAGGATATTTTTTCATTTGTATCATCTGCAATTTCATTCATCAAGGAAGTGAAGGAATAAGACTTTTGAAGATATCAGAGAAGAGTGTATTAGGTTGTGTGAGTAGAAAAAACAAAATTTCTGGGAAAAAATGAGCTTAGAATTGAGAAATAGCACAAAGTACGTGCCTGGAGTGGAGTGAAGGAAAGAGTGAATAGCAAGAGATGGTATTGAAGAGTAATTCAAGGGAAACATACCATCTTAAGAAGTTTATTTATCCATTTATTTTTTATTCATTTTTTAAATTTCAGAATATTACAGGGGTACAAACCCTTTGGTTACATGAATTGTCTTTGCTCCATCCAAGTCGGAGCTACAAGTATGCCTACCCCAAGACAGCATGCACTGCACCCGTTAGGTATGAGTTACCCTCACACCTGCCTGACACTGATGAATGTTACTTTCATATTTGCATACAAATTTTGATTGATTAGTACCAATTTAATGGTGAGTGCATGTATGTGGTGTTTGTTTTTCCATTCTTGTAATACTTTGCTTAGAAGAATGGGCTCCAGCTCCATCCAGGATAATACAAGATGTAGTTTGCTATTTTTTATGGCCGAGTAGTACTCCATGATATACATGTACCATATTTTATTAATCCACTCCTGTATTAAGGGGCACTTGGGTTGTTTCCACATCTTTGCAATTATGAATTGTGCTGCTATGAACATTTGAGTGCTGATATTTTTATTATAGAATGTCTTTTTTTCCTTTGGATAAATACACAGTAGTTGGATTGCTGGGTCAAATGCTAATTCTACTTTTACTTCTTTAAGGTATCACCATATTACTTTCCATAGAGGTAGTACTTATTTGCAGACCCAGCAGTGTATGAGTATTCCTATCTATCTGCATCCATGACAACATTTGTTGTTTTGTGACATTTTGATAAAAGCCATTCTATTAGCAGTCAAGTGATATCTCATTGGGATTTTGATTTGCATTTCTCTGATGATTAGAGATGTTGAGCATTTTTTGGCCAAGATTTAGTATATCTTCTTTTGAAAAGTTTCTGTTCATGTCCTTTGCTCACATTTTAATGGAGTTGTTTGATTTTTGCTTGTTGATTTTTCTGAGCTCTAAATAGATTTTAGTTATCAGCCCTTTATCAGATGGATAGCAAGGGAATATTTTCTCCCATTATGTAGGTTGTCTGTTTGTGCTAATGATAGTTTCTTTGCACAGAAGCTTTTTAATTTGATCAGGTACAATTTATTTATTTTTGTCGTGCTGTTGGGGTCTTCCATATGAAGCATAGAATTATTTTTTTCTAGATCTTGGAAAATGATGTTGGTATTTTTAATAGGGATTGCATTGAATCTATAGATCACTTGGGTAGTATAAACATTTTAACAATGTTTATTCCTCTGGTCCATGAACATGGTATGTTTTTTCATCAGCTATGCTTCGTATAGAACCAGAGAAGAGACTCTGTATAGTGAAAGCAATCTTAAACAAAAAGAACAAATTGGTAGGCATCAATCTACCAGATTCCAAAGTATACTACAATGCTATAGCAACCAAAACAAACAGTCTTGTGCCGGCACAAGAACACATAGACCAATGGAACAGGACAGAGAACCTAGATATAAAATCATCCTCATATTGTCCTCTGATATTGACAAAGCAGACAAAAACATACACTGGGGAAAAGAATCCCTATTCAATAAATGGTGCAGGGAAAATTGGATAGCCACATGTAGAAGACTGAAACAGGATCTGTACCTCTCACCTCTCAGAAAAATCAACTCACGATGGATAACAGACTTAAAATTAAGGCCATGAAACCTTAATAATTGTAGAAGAAAATGTTAGAAAAACTTTTATAGGAATTGGCCTAAGGTAAAGAATTTATGAAGAATATCCCAAAAGCAATCACAGCATCAACAAAAATAAATAAATGGGACATGATCAAATTAAAAAGATTCTGCATAGCCAGGGAAACTATCACTAGAGCAAATAGACACCCTACAGAATGGGAGAAAATATATGCATGCTACACTTGCAATAAAGGGTTGATAACTAGACTCTATACAGAAATCAGAAAAATCAATAATTATTTTTATTTAATGAAAATTTAAAATCAGCCTTATTAAAATGTATTTATACAGGTGAATTCAACAACTAGATATTTTTGCTTTGCTGTCAGACTCAGACCCTCTAGTATTCATCAATGCATATAAAAATAAATGCTCTCTCTCTCTCTCTCTCTCTATACCACCCAACCAACTCACACAGCACACACACGACACAGCCCAATCTTTAAGTTCCACCAGAATTCCTTATAAGGGAATGGTTGAGATTGAAAATACCAAATAAATCACCATATACATTATGAAAAAAAATGGGTATAAAACTACCAAACACAAAGATCCTGAAATTTTATTTTCTCATCTGTTTCTGCCTAGACTCCTCATTATTAATTTATATAAGGAAGGTAGAGATTTTTCTCCCCTCTCTTCTTCATGTGTAGCAAGTTCTAGCAGGGAAAGTGACAGCATAGTGAGGTTAATTTTATGCTTACATGAAGCTAGCAGAATAAGAGAAGAGTATTTTACTTTTTAAAAAAAAAAGAATAAAAAATTAACAATATTATTTTACATTTTACCTGCAATCAGAATAAAGTGAAAAGCAGAGCAAGAATCATTAATGGAAAGTCAATAATTATCTTTGAGATGCACAACAGCTATTCCTGGCAGAATAAAATGTCTATGCCTAATGATACTTAATCTTATCCTTTTCATTCCTGCTGCTGGGCAATCCAGAGCTAGATGATGTGCATATCTGGATTGGATTCCCTTTTTCTTTGTGGTTCTTGTTGCACTTCTATAGAATTCTGCAATCTTGTTTGTGATTCAGACTGAGCACAGTCTCCATGAACCCACGTACTACTTTTTGGCCATATTGGATTCCACTGACCTGGGCTTATTCATGGCCACCATCCCCCAAATCCTGGGCCTCTTCTGATTCAGTCTCAGGAAAATATCTTTTGGAGGCTGCCTTTATAAAAAAGAAACAAACAAAGAAAAATAAAACTCTTGAATTAAGAAGCAAATTCATCAAAGTTTCAGGGGACATGAAAAACACACAAAAATCAATTGTATCTGTATATGCTATCAGTAAATAATCTAAAAGTAAAATAAGAAAATAATTCTCTTACAATAGCATGAAAGGAAAAACATACTCAGGAATGCATTTAACTAAGGAAAGTCTAGATTTGCACAACAGACACTCAAAATATTGCTGAGAAATAAAATAACTAAATAAGTGTTAAGACATCTCGTGTCTATGGGTTGAGGGCTCATTATTGTTAAATTGTGAATATTCCCCAAAGCAATCTAAGGATTCTACAGAATCTCTGTTAAAATCCTATCTTTTTTTGCACAAATGTAAAATGATATCTTAAAATTTATATTGAATTGCAAGAAATTCCAAATAGTTAAAATCTTGAAAAAGAACGAAGTTGAAGGACTCACACTTTCTAATTTCAAAACTATCTGTAAAGTTATGGTAATTAATATAACATAAAGATTGACATATAAATGAATGGAAGTAGTTAAGATTCCAGAAATAAATTTGATTATCTATGGTGCAATACCTATGACCATGATAATTAATGCAGGAAAGAAAAGTCTCTTCAAAAAATGGTCAGTTGGGGGGGATTGGGTGTGGGTAAACCCACAACTAACGGAGACTGAGAGCATTGTATCAGGGAAGGGCACACTTCTAGCCCTGGCTTGGCTGAGGCAAAGGCATTACATGTAACCAAAATGTTGTACCCCCATAATACTTTGAAATTTAAAAAAAAGTGGTCCTAGAAGAACTGGATATCCACATGTAAAAGGATGAAGTTGGACATTTTCTCACACTACACACAAAAATGAATTAAAAATGAGGCTGAAGCAGAAGGATTGCTTGAGCCCAGGAGTCTGAGGTTGCTGTGAGCTAGGCTGATGCCACCGCATTCTAGCCAGGGTGACAGAGTGAGACTCTGTCTCAAAAAAAAAGAAAGAATTAAATTCTCAAACATAAGACCCATAAGTAAAAATATATTAAAACAAAACATAGGGATAAACTTTCATGACCTTGGATTTGGCAATGGTTTCTTAAATATGACACCAAAATGCAAGCAGCAAAAGAATAAATTGATAAATTGGAAACTAACCTAAATCTTTCCAAGATCTTAACAAAGGTTTTACAGTCACACATTTAATTTGTTATTTGGTCATTTCTTATTTTGAGGAATTTTTGTAGTCAGGAGAAGCTAAGAATGAAAATTGGCTTGGTTTTTTAAACCAGAAAGTAATGATTCCTTTATATTTCTTTTAGATTGTGGTTGAAACTGAAATGATCTTATTTTAACTCATTTTTCTTTATCCAAATTTTGTTGTACTAACTAAAAGAAATCACTTGGCACTTTCGACATTCTGCCTAGAAATCTCCTTAGCCAAATCCACCAGTGTATTTTGAAAATTTTCTATTTTCTATGTTACTGAAGAAAACAGTTTGGCCAGGCTTTCTGTCTCCATATAAAAAAGAATTCCTTTCTTTTAGCTCCCAATTCTGTTTTTCTCACTTTTCTTCCTGCCCTCACTTTTGGTCTCCTTAAGGTCCATCAATCTTCCATTCAAGGCATGGTTCCCAAACCTATGACATATAATTTGGATTTGTGTGTGTGTTTCAATTTTTTTGCTCTCTGTGTTTTGTGCTGATATTTTGACTTCACTAATCTAAATCAGGGGTTGGCAAACTTTTTCTGCAAAAGGACAGTAAATAAATATTTTAGGCTTTGTGGGCCACATGTGGTATCTGTTACATATTCTCCTTCTCTCCTTCCTCTTCTCCTTCTCCTCTTCCTCCCTCATTAACCTTTACTGAATGCATGAAAATGATTCTTAGCTTGCTAGCTGAAACAGAGAAGGCCATGAGATGAATTTGGCTCACAGTTTATAGTTTTCTAACTCCCGTTTTAAGATTTCTTAAGAATAACCTAAATGCTGTTATAATCATCTGTCAAGTTCTTATTTTGTTATAAGATAACAAAATATTGTTATTGACTCCAATTCCCTTGTGAAAATCTTAGTCTTGTCATATTTTCTTGAATATATTAATCACAGTAATCCTAAAATTTCTGCATGATATGTCCAGTGTCTGGTTGCCTTGTGAATCTGTTTTCTGTTTTATTTTCTTCGCCTGCTTTCTTGGTTTGCCTGATAGCTTTTTACTGAAGTTCATATAACTTGTTTGAAAAGCTGTAGAAGCTTTTGAATGCATTATTTTGTGCAGAAAATATTTATTTTGTTCTTTGGCAGATTTCATCACCTTTGTAAGACTGTATCTACTTTTGGGATGTAGCTTTCCAGAGGTTTTTACTATGCCTCGTCCTTCTTGGTGTGCCCTGAATACTAATTTTTGTCTCCTTAGCACTCTAAGACTGCCAACATTATGTTGTGCTTTATATCTGCTTTCTCCATTTGCCTTATGCAGATTTAAATGAAAGAAAATGTGCTGCAAGAAGAGTGGTGTAGATTTTTGGGCTTGCTTTTTTGCACCTCTTTTCACTGTGAGATCATGTTTTCTCACATCCTGGCTGCTTTTGAATCCCCAGATGCATTTTTTTTCCTCCTAGCAGTAATAATTTGGCAAAGCTCTGCAAGTCTCCTTGTGTTTGAGTGGCTTACCTCTTCCCTGCTCCAACAGTCATTAAAAAACCAGTGGAAATAATGGTGAGTAGGAAGTTGTGTTCACTTTAGTGAGCTTCTCACCAGGATCTTTGTCCTGTATATCTCTGTTGTCTTATCCAGCCTTTCACCTGCACAATTTATGAGAAGTAGGGCAAAAGGATTATAGACATACCAAGATATAAGCTATAACAGGGAGGATATAGACAGAACAACAATGGAAAACTAAGGGAATATGCCATTGAAGTAGGTGGCAAAAACTCATTGACTACTCAGTTGTTAAGCAGAAATTTTGACTTCTATTTTGGAAAGCAGAAAAGATACAGAATGTATCATTGGAAAATAAAGAGTATATGACTCTTGGCCCATAGTTCCAGTATAGGGAAAGAGGTTTCTTAGGTGAACTCTCCAGTGAATATCACTTAGTTTATGCCAAGAACCTCGGGAGACTGCAGTCCCCATTCCAGTAGAAGCAGGGCTACTGTATGAGTATAAATACCTATCCTTGCTTAGGAAGGTGTGGGTTCAGAGAGATATCGGATTATGTTTTCGAAGTTCAGCTTTTCAGAGATATTTGGAAAACATGGTAAGGCTGTAGTATACTGGTTAGGGCTATAGGAAATAGTATGGGAGATGGGGAATGAGTTCATGCTAAACTAAGACAAAGATGGGGAGGGAAAATAAGTATATGATACAGAGAGTTTGTAAAGGATGAAGAAAGAACCCACAGGCAAATGTTGGGCATTTCAAATTTTATATGCATAAACTAGCATGGTTACACATTGCCCTACATGCACATCTATCTCTTTGCATCTTACATATGCAACTACTGATGAGACACTGACAGAAATTCTGTATTAGATCAGCTACTTTTTCTCACCTTATATGCTATGAACCAAATGTGAGTATAAAGAGGTCAAGGATTATGTTTTCCTGGTACCTAGCACATTGCCAGAGCTAGAAAGTGAGATCAACAAATATGATTTTGAACAAAGGAATTCATGAATGAATAAATTATAACCATGAATGATGGTAGAATTTATTTTGTTTTGTTTATAATAGGGCTCAAGAATAAAGTAGGAAGGCAGCTGAGAAATATAATAACATCGGATAGTTCAGGTCATTTGATAATAGCCCATGCGAGGGGCCTGGAAATTAGGTAGAGATAAGATTAAAAAGCTGTACAGCAGGGTTTTTCAACCTCTATGCTACTGACATTTTGGACCAGATAATTCTGTTCCAGGAGGAGATGTGCATTTCAGGACATTTGGCTACATCTCTGACATCTACCCACTAGATACCAGCAGCACTTCCTCTAGTTGTGATAATCACAATCTCCAGACATTGAACTCCAATCTCAAGGGTATCTAAAATAATATGCTCTTTTCCATGCAAAAGCAGGGTTAGATAGGATTTAAATAGAGTAGAGTCAAGAAATGAGAAACTCTTTAGGTACCCCTGATTGACATTCCCAAGATAGCTTCATTAATAAATTTGAATTTTTGTATATTTGATGGATAAGACCATTTCAATTTAAAATACTTTATAAACCCAAGTTTTACCCTAAATTTAAAAGTCCCTTTGCAAAATGTTTTCACCATGTCTTTATTCATGATCCAAAATATTCTAGATGAAGATGGCTTTTGAAAGACTAAGTTACGATGGAAGTTATGCTACTAATAATATGCACGCTGAACAAACATGTGTTCTGAGAATTTGTATGTGTGAGGAAGTTTTAGGTACATAAATAAAAGTAAATTTGTGACCTCTTGTTTTCAGAATCAGATACTCAGCAGTATACACGTGCATTAAAAATATATAAAATGATCTGTATGTAAATATATATTGAGTATATATTAATATGTATATATATATATTTATGATCCTTAGGTTCCCTAATAGGAGACTAGATTACGTTATATATGCGAAAGCATTTTTCATGTACCTTAGCTGCAGTATGTATAACACCACCGGATGCAAAGAGCAAAGACCTTTATTGTTCTTACTTATTACCCTGAGTAATAGATGGATATTCTCCTCCTCTCTCTTATTATTCAAATTTTTATGGATGAAAGGATCTGAATAAGAGTAAGTCTACTGAAATCATCTGCTATTCAGGTAAGCGTAGTAGAAAATGTTGATAACATTGAATGGGAGAAAAGAAATATTAAAATGTTATTTTACCTTTTACCAGGAGGCTGGAAAAAGAAAGAAATGAGGAACGAATCACTGATGGGAAGTCAATATTTGACTCTGATATGCACAGTCACCAAGAGTGACAGGGAGAATGTCCATTCCTAATAACTCCCAGTTCCATCCTTCTTCCTTTCTATTGCTTGGCATCCCAGGACTAGAAGATGTACACATATGGATTGGATTTCCTTTTTTCTTTATGTATCTTGTTGCGCTCCTGGGGAATGCTGCTGTCCTGTTTGTGATCCAGACTGAGCACAGTCTCCATGAACCCATGTACTATTTCCTGGCCATGCTGGATTCCATTGACCTGGGGTTGTCCACAGCCACCATGCCCAAAATGCTGGGCATCTTCTGGTTCAGTCTCAGGGAAATATCTTTTGAAAATTGCCTTTCCCAGATGTTCTTTATTCATTTCTTCACTGCCATGGAGAGCATTGTGTTGGTGGCCATGGCCTTTGACCGCTACATTGCCATTTGCAAGCCCCTTCAATATACTATGATCCTCACCAGCAAAATCATCAGCCTCATTGCAGGCATTGCCATCTTGCGGAGTCTGTGCATGGTGGTTCCACTGGTGTTCCTTCTGCTAAGGTTGCCCTTCTGTGGGAACCATATCATCCCTCACACTTACTGTGAGCACATGGGTATTGCCCGTCTGGCCTGTGGCAGCATCAAAGTCAACATAATATTTGGCCTTGGGGATATGTTTATTTTACTATTAGATGTGATTTTTATTATTCTTTCCTATGTCAGGATACTCTATGCTGTCTTCTGCCTGCCCTCCTGGGAGGCCCGGCTCAAAGCTCTCAACACCTGTGGCTCCCACATAGGTGTTATCTTAGCTTTTTTCACACCAGCATTTTTCTCTTTCTTAACGCATCGTTTTGGCCACAATATCCCTCTATATATACACATTTTCTTGGCCAACCTATATGTGGTTGTTCCACCAGCCCTCAATCCTGTAATCTATGGGGTCAGGACCAAGCAGATTCGGGAACGAATATTGAGGATTTTTTTCATAAAAGATGGTTAATCATCAGTAGTCTTAGAATGTCTTATAGTTCCTATTTCTTCCATATGTTCACTAGAAGGGATTTAATTTCTAAAAAGATAGAAAGCAGGGAGCAACAAGGAATATGAACAGTAATGACATTCCTTTCTCCACAGCCTCTTCAGTTTAAGGATACTAATGAGTTTATTGATGATAATACCATAATCTGTATGAATTAGATCTTTCACAAAGTGATTATATTCATATATTGTTTGATCATCAAGGTAACCCTATAAAGAAGTTATTCTTTAGTTTTCAGATCAATAACTTGATTTTTAAGTCTATAAAATGTTTCATCTGAAAATAGAGCTATTAGTTGAAAGTAGATAATTAAGCCATATGATTTTTAAATTGTAGCAGTTTCTGAATCAACCAAGAGAATGTGACAGCAATGGAATAAAATTTGTTTAGGCATTATACATAACTTTGGTGACAGGGTTCACAAAATAATAATGGCATTATTTGTCATTACCATTTGCTGTTCTAAATAATTTACTTATATAAGTTTACTTATATAACCACTTACTTATGTTGATATATTTGTTTCTAATGTGAATTCTGTGTGGCTATTTGTTGAGAGACAGATAAAGTGACAGAATCTTATGTCCTGAGAAATCAATGTGGGGAAGATATTTAGGCTAAGAACATTATGCTATAGATTTACGTGTTTAATTTATATTTGGGAGAGGATTTTTAGAAACTTTGTATTAATAATAATATACAATAAATATTTCAGATATTAAGCCAATATATTGAAGACAGCCACACAAAACTGGAAGTATATTTGACTTCTTTTTACTTTCTATGATAATCATAGGACAAATTATTGACCTAGTTCATAAAAAAAGCTGTCATTTGAAACTACATTCAAGTGAATCTACCAAATTTATGTTCTCTCTCTTACTTCAATGAAATCTTCTAATTCTTTCAATTTATGAGAATGGAAATTCTACTGCATGACCAGAAAAGGTCATAGATAAAGAATTTTAGGTAGTACCTTCTAAATCTTGTCATAATTCTAGGAAAAATATTGTGAATGGGAAAGCATAGATGTAATACTTGTTAAAAATTCCATAAGCTATAGTTAAATTTTTTTTTTTTTGTATTTAGAAAACCTAATTGATCAAGAGAACATACTAGGTCAATTGAATAAACAGATATCAGGCAAATTAAATCAAGCTAGCCTTTATATTTAAAGCTTTCTGTCTCTAGCTAGATAAGGTAAGAAAATTTTAGTTAGCCAAATAGACAACATGGGAACTTATCTCTTGGTACATGATGAGCAAAAATAGTATTGGACATTCATGTATAAATAAAGGCAAAAATTAAAAACATTACGTATAATAACTTGGCCTTTGGATAAAACAATCATGGGAAGAAAATAAGTTTCTGAAGATTTCTTAAAGAAATAATATACAGATTGGGTTTTTTAATAATTAGAGGGTGAAAATTAAAAATATCTCCTTGTATTACATTGTCTAATGTAAGTACCTCATCAACATTTTCAGTTTTTGTTTTCTTTCAGAAACATGGGATGATTACCCATACCCAGCTCCTTGTAGTGAAACTTGGCCATGTGACTTGCTGTGGCAAATAAAAATATTTATAGAAGGGACTTGTGTCAATTCTTGTAGGAAACGCTTAAGAGTGATTATGTAGGCCAGGTGAGGTGGCTCACGCCTGTAATCTTAGCACTTTGGGAGGCGGATAACTCAAGGTCAGGAGTTCGAAACCAGCCTGAGCAAGAGCGAGACCTTGTCTCTACTAAAAATAGAAAGAAATTAATTGACCAACTAAAATATATAGAAAAAATTAGCCGGGAATGGTGGCGCATGCCTGTAGTCCCAGCTACTCAGGAGGCTGAGGAAGGAGGATCGCTTGAGCCCAGAAGTTTGAGGTTGCTGTGAGCTAGGCTGACACCACAGCACTCTAGCCTGGGCAACAGAGTAAGACTGTGTCTCAAAAAACAAAACAAAACAAAACAAACAAAAACAAAAACAGTGATTATGTGTTTTTGTTCTTTTATCATACAAAGAATTCTTTCCAAGTGGATTGCAGATGTAAACTTGGAAGGGAAAATAGTACAGCTTCTAGAAGCAAGGAGACTATCTTCATGACCTTACAATAAGGAGAGATTAAAAAATAGGACACAATTACATATGCTAACAATATCGGAAATATATTACTTAATTAGTGTATAATGAAGAGCTTCTTTAATCAAATATACAATTAACAGAGAAAATAGGCAAACCAGCTGACTTGTGTACAGAATATATAGATAATTCCTACAAATTGATAAGAAGAAAAACACATAAAAATGAACAAAAAATTTGTATGTTTTTTTAACAGGAGGATATCCAAATTTCTAGTGAATATGAAAAGTTGCTCTACTAACTTAGTAAAAAGAGATATAATATTTAAAACCACTAGACAGTTCCACTATTTGCTGATCAGAATGTCTAAAATATAGAAAGATGTGGAGTAACTGGAATCCTCATACATTGATGGTGAGAAGGTAAATTAGTAAAATAACTTTTGAAAACTGGCAGTATTTCTAAAAGCTAATCATATGCATATTCTATGACCCCAAAATTCCTCTCCTAGGTATACATCCATCAAAAACATTACATATTTTCACCTAAAGATATATGCCTCAATTATCACAAATATACTATAAATGGCAGCCAGTAATTGACACAGCTTAAATGTACAGTAATAGTAGAATGCATAAATATAGTGTGATATATGTATATAATGAAATATCAAGTGGCATTGAGAATGAACAAATACAGGGTGTCCTAAAAGCTGCCATATGTAGAAAAATGGGAAATTGTAGCTAAATGTACCTTCACTTACAAAATATTCATGACAAAATTTTACGAAATTCTTCCTTTGAATGGAGACTTTTGGGATATACTCTATAATTACAAATAACATACTGAGTGAAATGAATCAGATGAAAAAAATTCATTAAATGTGAAGTCATGCACTGCACAGACATTTCAATGAAGGACAGACCACATATACAATGGTGGTCCCATAAGATTATAATGGAGCATATATAGAAACTTGATACATGGCACTTGATATTGGTATTGCAGATCAAGTAGAGGAAATAATTGATATTCAGTAATGGTACTGAGCCATCTATTCTACTAATTGATGTATCTCAAGAATGGGTAAACAAGCACCACCAATTTGATGTATTCACCATCAAATTGGTATTAACTGATCAACACTTATGTGAACATATAGTAGTAACATTCATGAGGCGTTGGGCAGATAGGAGGGGGGAGAAAGGGATGGCTATATTCACACCTAATCAGTGCAGTGCGTGCCATCTGCAGGATGGACATGCTTGAAGCTCTGTGTGGTAGTTCATTTTATACTTTTTTGAAGAACTGACCTCTATACCGTTTTCCATAGAGGCTGCACCATTTTGCATTTCGACGAACAATGTACAAGCGTTCCAATTTTTCCACATCCTTGCCAATACTTTTGGTCTTTTGTTTTTTAGTAATAGCTATTCTGACACATGTGAGGTGATATCTCATTGTGGGTTTAATTTACATTTCCCTGATGATTGGTGATATTGAGCTCCTTTTCATATATCTGCTGGCCATTTTAAAGTCTTCTTTGGAGAAATATCTATTCAAATCTTTAGGCCAATTTTTTAATTGGGTTATTTGTTTTTCCCTATTGAGTTGTAGGAGTGCTTTGTATGTTTTGAAGACTAACCCATTATCAGATATATCGTTTACAAGTATACTCCTCCATTCTATAGGTCACCTTTTCATGCTATTGATTGTTAACTTTGCTGTGCAGAAGCTTTCTTAGTTTGATGTAGTCTCCCAAGAGTAATGTCATGAAGTTTTCTTCTAGAAATATTCTATAATTTTACAGTTTCAGGTCTTACATTTAATTATCTCCTCCATTTTTACTTGATTTTTGTTCACTGTATAAGATAATTTCATTCTTTTGCATGTAAATTGACCTAAGAACCTCCTGATTATTTTATTTTTTTATATGAGGTTTGTTTTGTTTGAGCAACATATGTGTAGAAATTGATTGCATAGAGTGAGCTGTTTTATTTGTGGTATATCCTCATCTTAATCATGTTATTTATAAAATTATTGATTATCTACCATTATCTATCAAGCTAAGTTCCCATAAATCCATAAAGTCTATTTTTTTAAAAAAAAATCAACCTATATGAACCATGTACACCCTAATAATTGCATTCATATTTACTATCTGCTAGTCAGAAAATTAATATGCTTACCAGGATGACTAGTTATTAGTATGTTTACAAGCGGAATTAACTGGAGTAGTTGATTTTCTGGAGCCTCCCAAAGAGGGAGAGAAAAATGTTTTCAAACCTGCTGCTAATCCTTTGTTTCCTAGTAGGCAGTTTATGGTGTTAAAAGTCAGGATTGTGGTTGCTTTTTGGGAGTAGTAGTAACTAGGAGCTGATCTGAGATGGCTTCTGCATTATGAATAATATTACATTTATGGATCTGTTTTATACTAATACTTTGTGGAAATTTACCAAACCCTACTCTTAATGCTTCCTACATTTTCCTAGTAAGTCTGTAAAACTTCAATATAAATTATACTAAAATATATCTCAAGAAATAAAGAGCATAAATTTTAAAGGTAACATCTAAAAATACAAAACTTTTAGAAGACCACCTACGAGAAAAATCTTTGTAACCTTGACTAACAGAAAGCTCTCTTAGATATGGTACCAAAGACATTATTCATAAAAGGAAAATAATAGCATTCATTAAAAAACAAGAACTTCTACTTGTAAGACACTGTTTAGGGAATGAAAAAACAAACCACAGACTAGGAAAAATATTTGCAAAGTATAAATATATGATGAAATATTTTCATCCTGAAATATATACAATTATTATTTGTCAATTAAAATAAAATAAAAATTAAAAATTAAAATTTTCTCAAAATTCAATAATTAAAAAAAAACTAATCACAAAGAAATGGGTAAAGGATCTGAACAGGCACTTAACCAAAGAAAATGATATGAATGGCAAATAAACACATGAAAAGAGGCATAGCATCACTTGACTTTAGGGAAATGC